CTCCGGTGAGTGCACGTGCCCTATTGCAAAAATAATCTCTCAAAAAAAAGCTTTTTAAAAAATCTCTCTCTCTCTTTGAGATTATCTTTTTGCTCTAGGGCACGTGCACTCGCTGGAGAGACAGAAAGAGACAGAGACACAGAAAGCGAGAAATCACCCCCCAGAGGGATTCGCCACACCGCAATCCCTTCTCCTCTATTATCCCTTCAGGATTTTGGACATGCATGCACACATGCCTGGTGTGTTTCAAGCCTCCGGGTCTGGGACTCAACTCAAGGTGAAGGATGTGGGAGTCCAGCAATGTAAACATCACACCATCTGCTGGTCCCTAAAAAAAAAAAAATCTCTTTTTAAAATATGCTTTATTGTGCCAAATATACATATTATGAAGTTTATCATGTTAGCCTTTTCTTTCCTTTCTTTCTTTCTTTCTTTCTTTTTTTTTTTTTTAGATTTTTGCCATAGGGCACATGCACTTGCCAGAGAGGAGAGAGACAGAGAGATACAGAGTGAGGGAAAGTGAGAAATCAACCCCTGAGAGGTTGACCATGCCATAATCCCTCTCCTCCATACTTCTCTTTGGATCCTGGGCACACATGCACATGTGTCCAGCATGATTTTCAAGCCACTGGATCTGGGACTTGAACCATGCTCAACCATGTGGGAATCCAGCCACCTTAACCACCATGCTACCTAGTGACCCTATATTAACCATTTTTAAGTATACAATAGAGTGGTATTTTGCCTTTATTCTCAGTTTATATTTTCTCTAGAATTCTGATTTGAAGGGTTTTGTTGTATTTTGTTTTAGTACTTTAAATATGTCTTGGTCCAGCAGGTGGCATGGTAGTTAAGGCGCTAGACTCCCACACAACCGACCATGGTTAGAGTCTTGGACTAACAGCTTGAAAATCACTCTGGGTGTATATGGGTGCATGTCCAAAATCCCAGGAGGAGAGTGGATGACAAGGGATTGTGGTGTGGTCATCCCCTTGAGGAGGTGATTTCTTTCTTTCCCTCTCTCTGTCTCTCTGGTGAGCATATATGTCCTATGGCAAAAACCTAAAAAAAAAAAAAAAAAAGTCACTGCTTTCTGGTCTATTGTTTCTGATGAGAAATAATATTTTCATATGTATGTGTATATATTGTACATGTATGACATATTATATATGTATATTATATACATCATTTTTCCCTGGTTGCTTTCAAGATCTTACTTTTATTTTGGGTTTTCAACATAATGGCAATACTATACCTGGGTATGGTTTTGTTTTGTTTTATTTTATTTTGGTTTTATTTGTATTTATCCTACTTGAAATTTGCTGAGTTTCTTGAGTCTCTCTTTGTCTTTTACCAAACCTAGGGACATTTCAATCAATATTATCTTCAAATAATTTTTTCTGCCCCAATATTTCTCTTTTCCAAATATACATTGTGTTAGAGTTGTTTTAAAAAAATTATTTTTTAACTTTATTTATTTATTCATTTATTTTTAATTTGACTAGAGAGAGAGACAGGAAGAGAGAGAGAGAGAGAAGGTGAGAAAGCAAGCCACCAGGTCCGGGCAAGCCACTGAACTGTGGTCGGCCACGTGAGAGTGTCTAGCACCTTAACCACCATGCCACCCACTGGTCCCGATGTTAGTTTTTGAGGTTGACCTATAGGTCAATAGAATCTGTTTTCATTTCTTCAATTCTTTTTTACTTTCTTTCTGTTTTTCAGATTGAATAATTTTTATTGATCTGTGTTCAAGTTCATGACTCTTCTGTCATCTCCAATTTACTGTTGAGCTGGATTTTTAAAATTACATGTTGTATATTTTAGTTCTAAAATGCTCGCTTGTTTTTCTGTTTCTCTGCTGCAATATCATATCTAGTCATTTATTATAAGCATATTTTTCTTTACGTATTGAGCATAGTTATAGATTTCTTTTTTTTTGGAGAGGTTTTTGCTATAGGGCGCGTGCGCTCGCCAGACAGATAGAGAGACAGAAAGTGAGAAATCACCCCCCGGGGGAATGGCCACGCTGCAATCCCTTCTCCTCCATTCTCCTCTCGGGATTCTGGGCACACACGCACACGTGCCCGGCGTGAGTTTAAGCCACTGGGTCCGGGACTCGAACCATGGCCGACTACATGGGATTCCAGCGACACAGCCATTACGCCAACTGCTGGTCCCCATAGTTATAGATTTCTTGAGGGTTTAAATTTCTTGCCTGCTGGTGGCATGGTGGTTAAGGGTACTGGAATCCCACATGGCCAACCACTGTTCAAATCCCAGACCTGGCAGCTTGCTTTCTCACTCTCTCTCTCTCTGGTTAAATTGAAAAATAAAGGTACATAAAATAATTCTTTAAAAAAAAAATAAAGTACATTCTGAAGGGAGAGGAAAGAAACTAAGATCATGGAGTACGGATCTTGGTGACCAGTTTCTCTAACATTTCAGCCCTTGAAGATTTCTTTCAGTTCCTCTTTCCCATCCTGGAGACTCTGAACCGTTTTTTTTCTACCCTTGGCTTAGAGTGTTTTCCTCACCCTCTTCTTGTTGACTCACCTCTAAACAGCTTGAAATGCCACGTTCTGGAGAGGAAGGAGGCTTGCCCTCTCCCTCTGCATCAAGGTGGACCCTGTTGCCGAACACTGCCATGGCAGTCGGTTCTTCCCGTTTCTGAACACTCACCTCATTGTACTGCCCTGATGAAGGGCTTCCTCCTGCAGCAGTCTGTCATCTGTGATAGCAGGGACCGCGTCATCTTGTTCCTGCCTATTCACAGGGCTTGGCACTGAGCCTGGCCCCTGAGAGGCGTCAGAAATACTCCTCCTTACATTGAATTTCAATAGTTAGTGCAACTTCTTCATTTTAAAGGGAAAAAACAAGGCACAGAAGTGGGGAAGTGAATTTTCCTAAGGTAGTAGCAAGGCCATACCCTAGGTCACCGTCTGCCCTGTGGCATGGTGGGACTGGGTCTTCTCATCTGTGACTTTCCTTCCAGAGCATTTTGATGATGAATTAGAGATCTTTTTTTCTTTTCTGTCTTTTTTTAAAAAGGTTTTTGCCATTGGGTGCATATGCTCCCCAGAGACACAGTGAGACTGAAAAGGGAAAGTGAGAAATCATGCCCCAGGGAGAGGGCCATGCTGCAATACCTTCTCTTCCATTCTCTTGGGATTTTGGGCACACACACACACACACACACACACACACACACTAACCTGGCGTGATTTTTATGCCACCGTGTCTGGACCTTGAACTGCACAATTGGCCATGCGAGATCCAGCTGCTTTAACCACCATGCTACCTAGCTGGCCTGTGAGCATAGTTTTTATGTTATCTAGGCTTCTTTTTTTTGGATTAATTCTTATTTAACCTTATTTATTTATTTATTTATTTAAATTTGACCAGAGAGGGACAGAGTGTGAGAAAGAGAGAGGGCAAGCGAGAAATCAAGCTGCTGGGTCCAAGACTTGAACCATGGTCAGCCATATGGGAGTCCAACACCCTTAACCACCATGCCACCTGCTGCCCTCTCACCCCTTATTAAAAGAGATTTTTGCTACAGGCTACATGTGCTTGCTAGAGAGAAAGAGAGACAGAAAGCAAGAAATCACCCCCCAAGGGGGAATGGCACCTGGAAATCCCTTCTCCTCCATCCTCCTTGGGGTTTTTGGCACATGCACATACGTGCCTGGCGTGAGTTTAAGCCGCTGGGTCTGGGACTCGAACGCAGTCAACTATGTGGGAATCCAGGGACATAACCATTACACCATCTGCTGATTTCAGCTTTGATTTCTTTTAAAATGTGCAAGAAATGGAACTCTCTCAGGAATTTTTTTTTAAAGTTTATTCATTGATTTCTTCCATCAGAGACACACATAAAGACCTACCCCTAACAGGGTCTCCGGGGCACCTGTGCATGTCCAGTGTGCTCAGAGAGGTTCTGGGATGGGAACCCTGGACGTTTCCCATGTAGGTCCAGTGGTGCAATCACCCAGCCCTCCTAGGAATATTTTTGGCTCGTGCAGGAAAACCGTTGTTCTGAAGAGTACTACGTGGATGAAGTGAGTTCTCTTCACCTTTTAATTTGAAACATTCAAATCTATATGAAGTTTACATAAATAGGACAGCAAATACCCTGCTGACAGCACTTACTAAATGCCCATGTATACTTCATTTACACCCATCAGTTGCTAACATTTGCACAGTGGCTCTTTCTCTCTCTTTCTATACACACACACTCACCCACCCACACACGCACATACACCTATATATTCTATACATATACATGTGCACACATGCTTATTGTTTGCTGAACCACTTAAGAATCAGTTGTGGACATGATAACATTTTACTTCTAAATATTTCAAGCATGTATCTCCTAAGAACAAGAGCATTGGGACCAGCAGATGGCATAACGGTTATGTCGCTGGACTTCCACATAGTCGACTACGGTTCCAGTCCTGGACTTGGCGGCTTAAACCTCATGCTGGGCGCATGTGTGTGCATGCCCAAGATCGCAAGAGGAGAATGGAGGAGAAGAGATTGTGGCGTGGCATCCCCCCCGGCAGGGGATTTATCACTTTCTGTCTCTGTCTCTCTGGAGAGCACACGTACCTTACAGTCTTAAAAAAAAAGGAACAAGAGCCTTCTCCAATACAAATACATCATAATTAGCATGATCTTACAATAATAATGTATACTAATATACATCTGTATTCAAATTTCCCCAATTATCTCAATTATGTCCTTTACAGTTGTGGTTATTTTTTTTTAAATCCAGGATCCAATCAAGAATCATGAATTGCATTTGGTTGGTTGCCATGTCTTAGTTTCCTTTCATCTATTAATATAATAGTTACCAGACTACTTTCTGTTTCATAATATTGTCATTTTTAAAGACTCTAGGCCAGTTGTTTAGCAGAATGTTCCTAATGTAGATATGTCAAATTATTTCTTCATGGTTAGACTCAGAGTAAACTTTGGGTGAGTGTGGGGGGCTGTTAAGATGCCCATTGTATGACATTGTGGGTGAAGTCATCTTCATTACATCACCTCCATTTCAGACATCAGAAAGTTCTGGGCCTTAGGGACAGCTCAAGCCTGGGTGTGTATGGAGGGGAGGAAGGCTTCATCTATGTACCAGATCCCCAGATGCCTGGCGCTGGGCAGTGGGGAAGGCCCAGGGAGCTGGCTGATAAAGCCACAGCTTCAATCTTGGCAAAGCTCACTGCAGGGTTGGTTGCTGACTGCAGGAACCAATGTCGGGCAACCAAGGTGAGGTGAGACCTTCTCCTTCCCGTCAGGACCTCCGGGTGGTCAGTGGCCAGCCAGTTCCTCAGCCGCTGGGTCACCTACTGCCACAGCCACTCTCTGTCGATGTAGCTACAAGGGAAACAAGAAGAGGTCCAAGGGAAGTGGCCGATCCACTCCTCCTACAGGGAAGAGGCAGCCAGGGCCATACAATGACCAAGAGAGCCAGAGTAAATATCAGACAGCAAGAGTGAGAGACAGAGCCCAGAGCAGGAGAGAGGCTGAAGGACCAAGAGAGAGAGAAGCCAAGAGAGACTCATGGGGCTGGATGGTGACATGTAAAATGTCAAGTTCGGCAAAGTTGACCCACATGGGAAGGTTCCAGGTTTGTGTCTGGAGACTTCCCTGAGTATGCAGGCACCCACGTGCCCATGACCGGGGGCTGGTGGAAGCTGCATTGTAGCATCAGGATCCTATTGAGGGTGCTGCCTCTCTCTCTCTCCCTCTCGCTCTCTCTTACTCATGGAAGAAATGAGTAAACTTAGAGAGACTCAGACACGCAGAGCTGCAGAGAAGAGAAAGCACTCCTGACAAGCTTCACTAACAGTTTCCAAGTCCATTTCTGAGGTTCTTCGGCTTCAGGATTTGGGACAGTGACAAGAGTTTGTGGTTCTACTGGTCAGACTGAAAGGACACCCAGGCTTCCCCAAGGGGCCATGTGGGGTCACCTGCTCAGTCTGTACTTTTCCAAACACAGAAGCCAGGCCCTGGGCCAGCAGTTTTCTGCTCGAGCTCAGCATGTCTTCTGGTTTTCACGGGGTTCTCAGCAGAGGGGGGGATGCCTACTTGTGACACATCCGGGTAAAGAGGAAGATCAGGCGAGAGGCAGAGGGAGAACTCAGAGCAAATAGGCACTAGAAATATCCTTCCCCCTGGGGGTGGGTGGAATCTGGGATCTCAGGATCTGCCCAGCAGGGATGACCTTGGCTCGTACTAACAGGCCAGGGTTTTCTCACGAGAAACGAGGCTCAGAGGGAGGGAGAAAGAGGCTGCTCTGACCCTAGACTTACAGGAGAGAAACAGCATCAAGGGTTCCACCAGACCAAACTCCTCTAGAAGCTCATGGAGAAGGGCTCCCTTAGAGGAACTTGGATGGACAGAGGGGGCTTCCTGGAAATAATCTGCACCATTCGTGCTTTTCTTTGGTAGGAAGAGAAGATAAGAAAAAGAGCACAGTCATAGCTTTTCTGTGACATTGCAGCTGAACCCAGAAAGTCCCTTTCTGCCTCTGCCCTTGGCCAAAAGAACAACCCCCAGTCCCGGCGTCTTACTGAGGAGGTTGAGGGGCGTCAAGGGGCAGGACAAGACATCCCGCAAGCTCTCCAGCCAGTCCCGCTGCTCCTTCTCGCTGGGGCAGGTGAGGACAAATCTCCGCTGCGGGGTGACCAGGGTGAGACCAGCTTTCCAGCGATTCCCTCGGATGCCCTTGGGCAAATCTGCAAGTACGGCATACCCTTGCTCGTTGCTCCCGAGGACAACCTGGCCCTGCTCAAAGGCATCCTGAAAATACAGGGTCCATGGTCATCAGAGGCTACCTCCCCTGGTAGAGGGGCCCTGTAATCCTGACAGCCCCTAAGTTCTATTTCGGTGAAGGGTGTAAGTGTTTCTGCTGGAATTGCTGCTAGGTGGAGTGCAGAATTTGAAAGATTAAAAATTCTATGGGGGCCAGGTGGTGGCAGTGGTAACACAACTGCACCCACATGAGAAAGGTCCTGGGTTCATGTCCCAGGTTGTCCAGGAGCACACCAGACTCACATGTATGCCCGTGATCCAGCCCAGCTGAGACTAGGGGGCGGATCATGGTGTGAAGACCTTGTTGGGGGTGACTATCTGTCTGTCTATCTCTCTCTCTCAAGGGAGAAATGAATAAACTTAAAAAAAAAAAAAAAAAAAACCTGTGCTAACAGATGGCATGGTGTTGAGGCGCTGGACTCATACAAGGCTAACCACTGTTCAAATCCCAGACCTGATGGCTTGCTTTCTCACTTTTCCTCTTTCTTTCTCTCTCTCTCTCTCTCTTTCTCTTTCTTTGGTGGGTCCACATGCCCTAGAGCAAATTAAAAGAATAATAATAACACGGACCAGCAGATGGCATAATGGTATGTCACCGGACTCCCATGTAGTCGATTGTGGTTCAAATCCCAGACCAAGTGGCTTAAAACTCAGGCCAGGCACCTGTGTGTGCATGCCCAAGATCCCAAGAGGAGACTGGAGAAGCGATTGTGGCATGGCCATCCCCTTCAGGGAGTGATTTCTCACTTTTTGTCTCTGTTTCTTCAGTGAGCACACACACACTATAGCAAAAATCTCTTTAAAAAAAGAAGGAACCAGCAGTTAGCATAATGGCTATGTCACTGAACTCCCATGTAGTCGACTGTGGTTCGAGTCCTGGACCCGGTGGCTTAAACTCACGCTGGGCATGTGTGTGTGCATGCCCAGGATCCTGAGAGGAGAATGGAGGAGAAGGGATTGCGATGTGGCCATGCCCCCTGGGGGGGGATTTTTCGCTTTCTATCTTTCTGGTGAGTGCACACGCCCTATAGCAAAAACCTCCCCCCCCCCAAAAAAAAAAGGTGAGCTCTGGAGACTAGAGAAAAATATAGGCCTATTTAACTACAACTGGCAGCATTTGGGACATTCATAATAGACTTTCGGAAAATAAGGGGAGAGAAAAGCTTCCTTTCTAAGGTGATGACTTAGAAAGGAGATTTTCCTCTCTGGGTTTCTCTCACTCTGGCGTTCTGGGAGATGTATTTGTCTATAGCTCCTCCAGTCCCCATGCCCTGATTAGGAACCAGGAATGGCTCTTACCAGTGGGTTCTTGTAATAGAGAAGCCTCCGCTCCTGGGGATCCAGGGCAAACCACCTTTTCTTAAAAGGTTCTCTCTGCTGCAAAAGAGGGAAGTGCTGATCAAGGATGGCAGAGCTGGTAGCACTTCCTGAGGACAGAGTTGGGGCTGGCCCAAGCCACGCCAAGGTAGCTGGCCAGTCCTACAGGTTCTTGGCCAAGCACTAGCACTTCCCCCTGGGGCCTGGGCAGGGCCCTGAGCTCTGAAGATTGTGCCAGCCCCTCCCCCTGCCAACCCCCTCCTCAACACCGCCTTCCCCAAACTTCATCCCACTGCCTCCAGGTGCTGCCTTGGGTTGAAAAAGGCCCTTCCCTGTTCCTCAAACTGTGGACACAAAGTCTCAGAAAAAGGAAGCTGGGGAAGTCAGAAGTGGCTATTACTCAGCAAGGCTGAAAGTGCTAGCCTTGGCCAAATTCTAACTTAGGTCACGGGAGAGAAAGCTCTGGGCGAAGAATCATGGGGAGGGGTTGTGCCTTTGGTGAACGGAGAAAACCTAAAACCATGCTTGGACTGCCTGTCCGTCTGCCTGAAGCTTTCCTTCACACTATCCCCTTGACAGATAGCCCATAAGTATATTAACCCTTTCTTTAAAAACAGCATTGGGGGGCCAGCAGGTGGCATGGTGGTTAAGGCACTGGACTCCCACATGGCCGACTTTGATTCAAGTCTCTGACCTGCAGCTTGCTTTCTTACACAGTCTCTCTCTCGCTCTCTCTGTGTCTCTGACTCTCTTTGTTGAGCATACATGCCATATAGCAAATTTTTAAAAAATAATAATAAATAAGGGTGAGCAGGTGGCATGGTGGTTAAGGGTGTTAGGCTCCCACATGGCTGACCAGGTTCAGGTCCTGGTTCTGGTGGCTAACTTTCTCACTTTTCCCTCTATCTCTCTCTAGTCAAATTGGAAAATAATAATAATAATAAATAAAAAGTTAAATAATTATTTTTAAAAATAAATAAATTTCATAAATAATTATTTAAACAAACAAACAAAACTAGCATTGGGGGTCAGCTGTTTGGAGGAGAAGGGATTGTGGCATGGCCATCCTCCCTGGAGGGTGATTTCTCGCTGAAATGTGGCCTGGTGGTTAAGGTGCTGGATCTCACATGATTGACTCCATGGTTCGGATCCTGGACCTGATGATTTGAAAATCACACCAGGCACGTGTGCATGCATGCCCAAAAAAATCCCAAGAAGAAAATGGAGAAGGGATTATGGTGCGGCCATCCCCCCTAGGATGTGATTTCTTACTTTCCCTCTCTCTCCCTGCCTCTAATGGAGAAGGGATTATGGTGTGGCCAGCCCCGCTAGGATGTGATTTCTTACTTTCCCTCTCTCCCTGCCTCCCTCTGTCTCTTTGGAGAGCATATGTACCCTATGGCAAGAGTCTAAAAAAAAAAAGACTGGGGGCTAGCAAGTGGCATGGTGGACAAAGGTGCTGAATTCCCACATGACCGACCGTGGTTTGAGTCCTGGACCTGGCAGCCTGCTCTCTCTCTCTCTCTGGTCGAATTAAAAAATAATAATAACAAATGGAATTAAATAAATAATCATTTTTTAAAAACACAAAAACAAAAGAAAACAAAACCCCCGAAAACAGCATTGAGGAATGCTGTCACTTCTGGAGAATTTGCAGGGAGCTCCTTCTGCTTTTTCCCTTTGGTTCCTTTCTCCTCCTTTCCCCTCTCTCCCTTCCCTACTCCCATGTCCCCCAGCCAGACTTCTGACTTTGAGCCTCCCCCACTCAGCTTTCAGGCTTCCTCCTCTGAACTCTCCAGGGAGGCCCAGAAGCAGAGGACTTCCCTTCCTTCAGAGAGTAGGAATGCGCAGTGGTGGGAAGGAAGGGGGAGTGTGGGAGGCTTCCTAGCATCCAAGCCGGATGCTCATGTGTTTTCTCACACCAGTCTTCCTTGGGTGGTCCTAGTAGGTATTCAACAGAGCACACGAGGGTTCTGGAGCCCCATAGGTGTCTCACCAGGGGTAGGGTGGGTCAGATGGAACTAAGAAGCAAGAAGCTGATGGTGACAGTGATGATCAGGACATGTCTCTGACAGGGAGCACCATCTGCAGGGACGCAGTCTCCCCTCGCCCTGTCACTCAGGAACTAACACTGGTTTCCTTTTCTTTCCGCCCTCTCCCCAACTACTCCTTTCCCCACCTCACACAGTCTGCTGTACTGCCACTGGGACAGAGTCCCCCAAGTAGTGGGAGAAGGTACCTTTGGACCGGTCTTTTCCATGAAGCCTTGTTTGAGGTAGTTCCTGGTGAGGAGAGGCACGAGCTAGGGGAAGAGAGACAGACGCTGACCCCTTCTCACACCTCAGGGCCTCAAGGCTCCCCACCAAGTTTGGCTCCCCACAAAGGGGAAGTTTGGAATGGGGAAGGATGTATGCCCAAGGTTCACGGGTTATATTTGGAATGTGGAATGAACATGATGTTAATATTTCATCGAAACCAGTCGATGGCACCCCAGAAGTCTTGGCTTGGTGTAAGAACTTGGTTTAAGGACTCCAGTAATCCCGGGGCATGAACACAGGCCAGGCTCTGAGATCCTCTTGATGTCAGGGAGTATTTTCTGAGGACCTACTGTGTGTTGGGCCCTGAGTACAATTCTTGACCGTGCTGTGCAGTATTTTCAGCCTCATTGTGACACCTGAAGAACTCAGGCCACAGAGACGCAGTCAAGGATTTCTCCAAAGTCCCATCTCTGGTAACATGAAGAGCTGGGATTCACTCCTGGGGCTGACAGGCACTAGCCTGCACTCCCACTGCCACACTATGATGCTTAAGTATAAACACGCGGGGGCGTCTCATCAGGCTGCGACTTGGTCATGAGTAGGGATCCTTTCTTTTTTAGGAGAGGTTTTTGCTATAGGGCGTGTGCGCTTGCTTGCCAGACAGACAGAGACAGAGAGAAAGCGAGAAATCACCCCCCAGGGGGGATGGACACGCCACAATCCCTCCTCCTCCATTCTCCTCTTGGGATCTTGGGCACGCACGCACACACGCCCGGCCTTAATGCTTCCACTGGGAGAAAGCAGAGTCTTTAACTGTCAGTATTCTGAACTTGAGCAGCACTAGGCTAGCCTGGGCCTAGGAAGACAATGGGAAGAAAGGAAATCCGATGGTGGGAGTTCTACCTAAGGTGCCTCAGATGCCCTGACTCACTGACTCTCATGACAGCCCTGGGAAGCAGGTATCATCCCCTTGGAGACAGCGACTTTGCCTATGCAATTCATCAAGTTCTCTGACTTCAGAGTCCACACACATTTCTTACTGCAGGACCACTCGATGCCCGGGCTTCTTTAGGGATCTGGATCCTTAAGCTCAAGCCAGGCCTGGTGGTGGAACAGAGCCTCACACCCTTGCGAGGAAAGAGAGGGGAGAGAAGCAGACTGGGAGGGTGGGTAAGAAATAACGGTGGTGGTTGGGAAAGGCAAGCGACATTGGGCAAAGACCAGTTTCCTCCCACAGAGCAGCAAAGATTGGAAGCTAGCCCAGATGAAAGAAGGCAGGGAGTCTGCACTTTGTCCCCTCCCCGCAGTCAGCAGTCAGCACTCCCAGCTCCCCACCTGGGGAGTGAGCATTAACTAGTTCTGGGTGCTGACTCTGCAGACTGACCGTCAGGGACCTGACCTAGGCCTTCTGGAACTGTTCCTAGGGAGCTGTCATCTACTGTCTCCCTGGGTCTGGAGCAGACACTGTTCCAAACATCTAGCTTCTTGCAAACCTTGGAACTAAGGCACATTCAGCCTTTCAAAGAAGAGCCTAACAGTTGAGAATAAGAATTCCAAGACAGATCAGCAGATAGTGTAATGGCTCTGTTGCTGGACTCCCACACAGTTGACTACGGTTCAAGTCCTGGAGCACCAGGCACATGTGTGTGCATCCCCAAGATCCTGAGAGGAAAATGGAGAAGAAGGGATTGTGGCATGGCCATCCCCCCTGGAGGGTGATTTCTTGCTTTCTGTCTTTCTGTCTCTCTCTGTCTTTCTGGCAAGCAAAAACTCTAAAAAAAAAAAAAAAGAATTCTAAGAAAACATGGTCTCCACCAACAGCACTTACAGAATCCTTTAGAGGAGAGGCTAAACTAGGGAGCAGACCATAGCACCTCAGAGCAGGAAGGTGACCTAGACCAAATGCCATCTGACTAGTATGGAAACAGATGCTCAAGGAGGTGCTCTGACCTGCAGGGGTCACATGGCGAGTTAGCGGCAGACCATCCACAACAACTGTACCTCCTAGATCAAAGCAGCATCCCCTGCCTCACACCACGTGGACTTCCTCAGCCATCTTGAGGGAGGTAGATGGAGGCCCCAGACATTTGACAACAATCAAAATGAAGTACTCAGACCAGGCATGATGGTGCACAGGTAGCCCCTCCATTGGGGAGGCTAGAGACCACATGAGAGGCATGGGCTCAAATTTCAGGCCAATCTGAATGCACTGGGCACAAATGTATACACTTTAATTCTAGCTAACTGAGAAACTGGGGTAGGAGGATCATGACACAGTGAAACCTGTCAAAAATACCTATCTTTGGCCTACCCCTGCGATACAGCTAGTAGCATACCAGACTGTGGAGCCAGAAGCCATGTGTGACCACAGTTTGAGTCCCTGGTTTGGATGGCCTGAGAATAGAAGGATGAGTACATGCCCAGAATCTTGGCATACTGGAGAACTGGAGGAAGAGAGCATGAATGAGCCCTGTAGTGTGCTGCTCTCTCTCTCATACATGCACACGTACTCTATCATGAATTTAAGAAATACTGGGCCAGCGCGGTGGCATTTTATACTGCTCAAGGAAAGCTGGATCCCACTTGGCGACCACCTTTACACTCCCTGATTCAGTCAGCCTGAAATACACCAGGCATATACATGCAGGAGTGCCAAGGATCTGACAGGCTGGGATCCTTGGAGACCCAATGGAGGGTGCGTCTCTCTCTCTCACCCTCACTTGCACACACACATGCTCTATCACGAATAAAAGTAAAGATACCTATCTGTCTCTCTTCCTTTCCTGCTTTCCCTCTCTCCATTTTCTATTGCTGTCACAAATGAAGTTCTCAGGCTCACCATTGCCTTGACCACAGAAGGCAGACCTGCTCCTACCATCATTGTTATGGGAACGATTCCATGGCCTTCCTGACACCAGAACATCATATGGCAAAAGGGGAATGAGGAGGAAGATTAGAACAGGAAGAGCACCTACGGTTATTCACTTGGCATTCTTGGGACTCAGTTTCCCATCAGTAAAATGAAAATGATTGCTCTGCTTAACTGCCTGCCTTAAGGAATTAAGAAGGGATTCACCAGGGCTAGCAGGTGGCCTAGTGGTTAAGGGACTAGACTCCCACACGATCAACTGCAGCTGGCGGTTTGCTTTTTCACTTTTCTTCTCTCTGTTTGTCTCTCTCTCTGGTGAGTGCACATGTCCTATAGCAAATTTAAAAAAATAGTAATAAACATGGGGCCTGCAGGTGACATGATGGTTAAAGGTGCTGGATTCCTACATGGTCAACCACGGTTCAAGTCCTAGACCTCGTGGCATGCTTTCTCCCTTTCTCTCTCTCTCTGGACAAATTAAAAAATAATAATAACAAATGGAAATAAATAAATATTTTAAAACATAATAGTATTAAATTAAGTTAATTTTTTTTAAAAAAAAGAAGGATTCACACGCCAGCAGGTATCATGGTGGTTAAGGTGCTGGATTCCCATATGGTTGACTGTGGTTGTAGTCCCAGTAAATAAATAAATAAAGGTTGCTGGACTCCCATATGGCCGACTGTGGTTTGAGTCCCAGACCTGGTGGCTTGCTTTCTCACTTTCCTGTTCTCTCTCTCACTCTGTCCCTCTCTGGTCAAATTAAAAATAAAGAAATAAATTAATTTAATTAAATGAAATAATTCTTTAAAAATAAAAAAGAAAGAAAGAAAATTGCACCAGGGGTGTGTGTACGCATGCCCAAAATCCCAGGAGGAGAATGGAGAAGGAATTGTAATATGGCCATCCCCATTGGGGAATGATTTCTCACTATCCCTCTCTCTGTTTCTCTGCAGCAAGCACACGCATCCTACGGCTAAAGCCTAGAAAAGACAAAAAAAAGGAAGTCATAAGATAAAATGAGCTCTGGCCAGCAGGTGACTGGATCCTACATGGGCAACTGTGTGGTTCAAGTCAAGAGCCCACCAGCTTGAAAATCATGCTGGGTACAAGAGGCCTGCAGGTGGCACAGTGGCTATGGTGCTGGACTCCCACATGGCTAAACACAGTTCAAGTCCTGGACTTGGCGGCTTGCTTTCTCTCTTTCTCTCTCTGGTCAAATTTTAAAATTAGTTAAGTAATTACATAGGGCAGGGGCATTGCAGGGAGACATCTCCATTTCAGGGACCAGCGTGAAGGCTGAGCAGCCCCAAGTCGCAGACCCCCTCTTCCAACTTCACCTTCTCAGTCCATAGCTAGAAAGATAGGGAAAAAACATTTTTTTCTTTCTTTCTTTTTTTTTTAAATCTGTTTCCCTTAATCCTTTCTTTTGCTAATTCTTACTCTCCTTTTTCCACAGAGGACATAGGGGCATTGCAAGGACACATCTATATCTGAGGTGCTCTGCCCTGAGAGTGGTTTTTGTTTTTTGTTATCTTTTTAAAATTTTTTTGGGGGGGGATTCTTCTTTTATTCTCTCTTTTCTTTTTTCTTTCTTGTTTTTTCCATTTTGTATTATCTTTTTCTTCTACCTTACTTTCTCATTTTGCTGCTCAGCTTACAAGCAGTGATTGTGTAAACAGGCCTAGAAATTCAGAATATTTGTGGCAACAAAACTCTATGAGATGGAAGAGAAAATAGACATTGAACTCCGGGAGATGGGGAAGCTCTTTTATGACTTGAAGGAGGAGATAGACAATATCAAGAAGAATCAAACAGAACTTCTAGAGTTGAAGTCTGTAATGTAGGAGATCAAAACCTCCCTTGAAAGCATTAAAAGCAGATTAGATCATAATACAGAAGATCAAATCTTGAACGTAGAAGACAAAACTTCTGACATAGGAAAAGATCACCTAAAAGAATGAAAAAATACCCCACCCAAATGAGAATAATATATGGGAAATACTAAATACTATTAAATGCTCAATCTTCTGAGTAACTAGTATCCCAGAAGGTAAAGAATCTAATAAGGGCATTGATCATCTATTCCATGAAATCCTGGAAGAAAGCGTTCCAAACCTAAAGAAGCATTCAAACATCCAGATTCAAGAAATACAAAAGCAGGACCAGCAGTTGGTGTAATGGCTATGTCGCTGAACTCTCACGTAGTCGACCATGGTTTGAGTCGCAGACCTGGCAGCTTAAACTCATGCCAGGCACATGTGCGTGCCAAGATCTCAAGAGGAGACTGGAGAAGAAGGGATCGTGACGTGGCCAGCCCCCGTAGGGGGTGATTACTTGCTTTCTGTCTGTCTGTCTGTCTCTTTCTGGCGAGCACACATGCCCCAAAAACCTCTCCAAAAAAAAAAAAAAGATTCTATCTCCAATTGTGTTGTTTGTATACCCTACAGAAGTTATTGTGACCCAAATGAAAAAAAAGATGTATTTGTGACAATGTTAATTTTTTTTGCATGTTGTAAAAAAGTATTACTTTGGGGAACCAGCAGTTAGCGTAATGGCTATGTCGCTGGACTCCCACGTAGTCGACCGCGGTTCGCGTCCCGGACCCGGTGGCTTGAAACTCACGCCAGGCACGTGTGCGTGCGTGCCCAAGATCCCGAGAGGAGAATGGAGGAGAAGGGATTGCGGCGTGACCATCCCCCCTGGGGGGTGATTTCTCGCTTTCTGTCTCTATGTCTCTGTCTGTCTGGCGAGCGCACACGCCCTACAGTGAAAATCTCTAAAAAAAAAAAAAAAGAAAAGAAAGTATTACTTTGGAATCACTTTAAGAAAAATAGTTTCAGGTCAAATCTGTTGCTATTCCTTTAAAAATATATTTACTTTTCACATACTTCTGCTAAAAAGAAAAAAAGTGCTGAGTATCGCAATAATTAAAAAAAAGGAAAGACAGATTAGGCTTTCTGATGTGTTGAAATTATATGTGTAACATTGCCAAATATAAAATCCAGCCCTCTGTGTATAGAAATTTGTGTAAATTGATGTTCCCAAATTGTATGAGATTCTTAAATATTGTTTTGTATTAGTATGTTATTAGTCATACTTGGAATGCTAAACAGTGCTAATGTAGTTTGTCACAAAAATGATCAAGTTTGTCAATTTGGGGTGATGGTAAAATCAGATCTCAAACCATGGCCATTTTAAGTTTCATTGTCCATAGCAAATTGCTTTATTCCGATACTCTTTCTAAAACATTTTTAATAGACTACAATCCAAAAAGTGCCTCTTTTAAGGAAATTAATGAAAAAGACTCTGGTAAGTACTCCTGAATATAGGTTCTTGGTAACTTTGAGATAATAATTTCTGAACTTCCAGAATTTAAACGGAAAGATTGGACCACAGTAACACTGCAAACTCAATAGAAGAGAGATTAATTACATGAGACTGAGCTGATGAAATAGAATTTTATGACCTTTGACTAAACATTACTGATTTTCGTCTATGCTTTGTTTTCCAAATTTAAAGATTTTTGTTTTCTTTTGAGCTGTGGATAGCCTCAGCAATTGTTTAAAAAAAATTTTTAAACGGAATCGAAACAAACTTTTCTCCCTTCCTGATCCCTCTAGAATTGCAAAGTATTTGTGAGTATTCTTATTTTGTGGCAGTATAGTTAATTGCACAAGGTCAATAATACCTGTTACCTTGCATCAGAAATTGGAAACTGGTTACTACCAGTGCTTGACTGGGATGTCATATCTGAAGATTTGACCAGAAGCTAAGGAACTAAGGTTGATCTCAAGAAAGCCAACAGAAGCTCCTGGAAAGGTTCCCTGATACCATAAACAGTTCTGCCTGGCAGGTAAGTAAAGAATGTCAAGAATGTCACTTCTGACACACCCAAAAACTTCCAAGTACAGGTTCCTAAAGGCACAATCAGATGGTGAATTCCTGACTTGGCTCAGTAGCCTTGGGAAGCTTTTTAAAGACTAATCTGAAATTCCATAGGATAGGTTCTAGCAAAGCCAACTAAATCAATTACTATTCTTATTGGTCTTTGTGCAAATAACAGACCAAATTGAGAATAAGCTTATTTTTTGGCAAATAAGTTAGTTTATGCTTCTCTTTGGTAGAAGGGAAAATGGAGAGAGAAAAAAAATGTTTCAGAGAAAAACTATAGTGCACTTACTAGCTTCTTAGCTCTGTCCATATTTGGTTTTTGAGGTTTTAGTATCTACCGACTGTTTGAACAGTCCTAACATTTTTCCTGGCCTTAAGCCTTACACAAATTTTTCTTAATTTCTTTAACATTTTGATTCATTAAAGTTAAAACTACTTTTCTTTTTTCTTTTTTGGAGATGTTTTTGCTATAGGGCACGTGCACTCGCCAGAAAGACAGAGACAGGGAAACAGAAAGTGAGAAATCACCCCCGGGGGGATGGCTACACTGAAATCCCTTCTCCTCCATTCTCCTCTCAGGATCTTGGGCACGTATGCACATGCGCCTGGCGTGAGTTTAAGCCGCCGGATCTGGGACTCAAATTATGGTCAATGACATGGGAGTCCAGCGACATAGCCATTACGCCAACTGCTGGCCCCAAAACTGCTTTTCTTGAAATTAAAAATAATAATAATAATAATAATAATAATAGCAAACAAAAGACAGAGCAGGAGAAGGGTGAGTAATGGGGAGGGAGAGAGGGAATAAAAGCAAAACATTTAATGGACATAAAAATGGAAAATTGTCTGCTGATAATAATGTGTATGATAATATCTTTGACTGGACTGATGTGCAGTGCATTCAAGGTAAAAAAAATCATCTGGTATGCTGTAAAGATATATAGTGATGAAATGAAAAATAAATAAATTTAAAAAATGGGGGGGGTTAATTAATTAATTTTTTAAGATCCGGAGAACAGAATGGAGGTGATGGGATTGAGCCATGGCCATTCCCTCAGGGGATGATTTCTCACTTTCTTTCTCTCTCCCTGTTTCCTTTCAGTAAGTACACATACCCTACAGCAAAAAACTTAAGGAAAAAAAAGTTGAAATGGGCTCAAAATTACTTTGTAAGAGGATGTTAGGGGTCATTTGCACATTTGGGTGGGAGACAGGTCAGGAGATGTCCGGTGCTGTGTCCCTGGACACTGGCCAGTGGCCGTGCATCCTGAAGGGGAGAAACTGACCTGCTTCTTTTGGAAGCCGCCTTCGCCTTGTCACAAGTACAGGCCTAACTCCCCACCCCGATCTTTCCAGGAGAGAACTTTGGCTTCCCTTGTAGGTGGCCAACCCTCAAGTGGTAAGGCCTTGCTTGCAAACAAACCTAGCCTGGCCTCTGAACATCTCTGGAGTCAGCAGACGAGGAGAGCGAGTGACAGAGAGGAGACTCATAAGTTGGGGTCCACATTTAACTCACCTCAGACTCTGGAAGCTCAGGAAACGCCGTTTTTAGGTATTGCAGACGGGCTGCACGGAGAGCATTGAACCAGTCCACTATCTCCTGCGGAGAAAAATGCCAAGGACATACAGACGGCTAGTGAGACGGGATGGGGCAGCAGGCTGAGTCTGGTGGCAGGAAGCTAGCGGGGCTATCAAGTTTGGGTCACATGCAGTCGGCTCTTGCACATACCCACAGTTCCACTCAGGGGCCCGGGCTAACCTGAGCAAGTGGGAAGCCACTGCAAGGGGAACTCCAGGCCTGGGCAGTGTCTTTCACTGTCTAGCGCGTGCATGAATCATCTGCAGATTCAGATTTGGTAGGTCTGGGGTGGGGCCTGGATTCTGAACTCCTAACAAGCTCCCAGGTGGTCCGATGCTGCTGGTCAGTGGGACACACTGTGAGGAACAGGGGTCTAGGGAAGCATTGTCCAAGTTGGCTTTTGGGTGGGCGTAGGTACACCTGGGGGTGCTCCTCCAGTGGGATGCTCATAGCCTGGGGCATGGTCAGAGCTGGCTGAGCCCTTTCCGCAGTCACTCTGGGAAAATGCCTCCCTTGGCAGTGCGGCTGATGCTCCCTTGGCAGTGCGGCTGACCATCGCCTCTCACTCAGACAACGACTTTAACCGGCCTTGACGTGTAGCTTCCCAACGCAGCCAGAGTGATCTTCTAATCAAATCTAGTTCAGTCTGGTGCAGCGTCCTCAGTAAAAAATCTAAGTTCTTTGATAAGACTCCTCTTGTCCTCTGAGCTCCTTCCATATGAAACTATGCTTACAATCCCCACCACGCGCTGCTCCCTCCTCTTGGGACACGGCCTCAGCCACCTCTCACCCACGCGTGCCTTCTACCTAGAACACTTTACCCATCCTGCAGGTTAGTTCAGATGTTGTAATAGAGAGGCTTTGGGGGCTCTTGCTCAGCTCAATCCCTGTTTCTTCCCCCTCTCTCTCTTTAAAGAATTATTTTATTTTATTTTATTTATTCATTCATTTACTTTAATTTGACCAGAGAGAGAGAGAGAAAGTGAGAAAGCAAGCCACCAGGTCCAGGACTTGAACTGTGGTCGCCCATGTGGGAGTGTCCAGCGCCTTAACTAGAACACTTTACCCATCCTGCAGGTTAGTTCAGATGTTGTAATAGAGAGGCTTTGGGGGCTCTTGCTCAGCTCAATCCCTGTTTCTTCCCCCTCTCTCTCTTTAAAGAATTATTTTATTTTATTTTATTTATTCATTCATTTACTTTAATTTGACCAGAGAGAGAGAGAGAAAGTGAGAAAGCAAGCCACCAGGTCCAGGACTTGAACTGTGGTCGCCCATGTGGGAGTGTCCAGCGCCTTAACCACCACGCCACCTGCTGGTCCCCTCAATCCACTTCCTCACCCACTCTGAGTTGCAGCCTCACTTGCTGCTATGATCCTGACTTTCCTTGGCCATGGCAACTGGGCCTAACAAGCCGCAGATGGGATCACGCTGCCGGTCAGTGGGATGCGCTTTGAGGAGCAGGGGTCTAGGGCTGGACTAATGCAGAGACTAGGGGCTTGTCGGATTCTTTCTCCCAGGACTTTGGAATTGGGAGACTGAAAGACTTGTTCAAATAGCTGCAGAGCTGGACTCTGATATAATATAGAGATTGAGAAAGACGTTCAAATACAGTTTCCAAGGAATGAAACAATTTCCCTTTCTCACTCACAGGTCAGTCACACAGGCCTAGTATTCCAGCATGCTGCGCTCTCTTGTCCTGGGCTTTGTTAAGAACTTTCTCAGAACCAGGCACTAAGAGCACGAGACCAGCCCAGAAAAGATGCACCCAGGCCTTCACTTTGGAAGGATTTTCTGGTCACAAACTGGTGGCCCTAGGCTAAATCCAGCCTGCATACCTGTTCGTTCGGCTCTGGAAACTTTGTGTTCTGTGCGGCTGACTTGCCTCACAGGTTCTGGGTTCATATTTGAAGACCTTCCTGAACATGATGGGCACATGTGCTTGTGACCCAGGGCTGGCTGAGGATGGGGTGGATGGTGGCGTGAAGATGCTATTGATGGTACTTGACTTTCTCTTCCTTGCTCGTGAAAGAAAGAAAGAAAAACATTTGCAAAAAAGTTGCCAGTATACATATTCTTTAAAAAAAAAAAAATAAAAAAATAATGGAGACGTCAGTAGCACAGCAGGAAGTCACCTGGACCCACATAGGAAGTCCTGAGGTTGCGCCCTGGGACCTCCTCGTGCATACCAGGTACGCACGTGTGTGCCCATGATCCTGGCTGGCTGAAATGGGAAGGGGGCTGGATCGTGGGATGAAGACCCTGTTGGGGGAGCTTCTCTATTATGGAAAAATAAATCAATGGTAGCCTGCTGGTGGCGTGGTCCTTAAAGCGCTAGACTCCCATATGGTCAACTAGGTTCAAGTCCTGGAAATGGCAGCTGGCTTTTTCACTTCCCTTCTCTCTCTCTTTCTCTCTCTCTCTGGTGAGCACATGTGCCCTACAGAAAAATTTTAAAATGTTAATTAAATTAAATAAATAAGAAAATAGATCAATAAATAAACTTAAAGGAAAAAAATTTGTTTTTTATTTGTTTCCATCCTTCATGTAGGGTGCAGGGTTTTTGTTTTACCACAGTCCCCGCCCCTCCTTACTTGACTTTTAAATGTCCCACCTGGCCCCTGTAGGCAGGTTCACAGCCACTAATTACGCCCCTCTCCTGGATGCTGGGGTACCAGGGGAGGGAGAAGGAGGGCAGGCGCAGGCTGTCAGTTGCGCCACAGGCGGGCAGGTGGAGTTGTAAGTGTCAGAGACCTCGAACACCTCTGCAGAAGCCCCTGTGTCAGTGGCTGGCATGGAGGAGTGGCCACCACTGCCTTGTCCATCTGGACATGGGGCAGTAGCAGAGAGCCCGCCATGGACCGAGAACCAGGGACCCGCTCTGTGCTTCCCACACTGTCCAAGTCCCAAGATTCTGGTGAAACGAAGGAGGGAGCCGAGCCAGATGGCTGAGGTGAAACTTCTCCCTCAGCTTAGGAACCGGGACCTTGAATTCAGAGAAACAAAGGCATGCAACGTTACCTGCACCCCTGGCATTATAATTTGTGCCTGTTAGAGTATGTGCTTTCTCGCTCCCTCTCTCTCTCTTTC